CTAATTTTGTACAGTTTATGGATGACTTCAGAATCATTTGTGGTCTAAGAGTCTAAAATTCTAGACCATAGATCTACAACACTGGCTCACTGGCTATTTTAATTGATTCCCTGCTCACTTACCATTAAAAACCTTCCTGTGACTGTTCACATTTTGACTGCACCAAAAATGTGCCAAAAGTGAATATATTTGAAATAACTGATAATTTATGGAACCCTTGAAAACCTTCTTAAGACAAAAATTTTATATGGTAAGATATGTAGCATTTTTCTATGCTGAAAATTAAGAAATCATGAAATATTTAAACAATTTGTTTCAAATCAAACATCTTTCTGTACAATTAGAAATATCAAAGTTTAATTTGTTTGAAGAGTCAAGAGGTTTAAAATAGTGCTTTATAAATCATATTGGAAAATAACACTATTATGTGAAATTGCTCACAGTAAAGATATGTTATAAAATGTCTTAGAGATTTTTTTCACTAAACTAATGAAGAGGTAAATTGTAATCATCTAAAGCAAATATTGAAACTAAAATTTTAGATAGATATTTAAACAAGTGAAAGCAAATACACTATTTGTTAGTCAAAGAAATAGGAAATATTACATGAACATTCAATGAAAACATTCGTAAGAAAAGAAAATTGGCATTAAATCATTGAGAATTACATTAATTTATTCTACAAATAAAAATATTCTTAAATTCCTATTGATTCTATAATTCTTATTTTAGTTTATTTTCAATTATAAATTTAACATATGGGCATTTTAAAATTTGAGATGATATAGAAGGATATTAAATAAATGTTTCCCCCTCTTTTCCTTCTTCATTTTCCCTCTCCTCATTCCTACTTCCTAATTTCATTCTGCAGAAGTAATTATTATTAAGTTTTTTTGGTGTATGTATGCTTTCAGGAGTTTGATGCATATGCACATGTTTTGTTTTTAGGCAAATGGAATCTGAAAATATTATATACACACTATTTTGAATCAGTTTTTCTTAATATCAACTATCTGTTTATATTGTTATATACTAATCTTTTACATTCTTTTAATTGTAACAGAGTGTTCCATTGAATATATGTGCAACCATTTATATTGCTGGTTGTCAGATTTTTTTCTGTAGAGGGTCGTATGGCAAATATTTCAGGCTTTGTGAAATACTTGGTCTCTATTGCAGCTATTCAACTCTGCCGTAGATAATACATAACTGATGGGTATGGCTGTACTCCAATAAAACTTGACAAAAACAGGCTGTAGGCCGGATTTGGCCCACAAAACATAGTTTATTGACCCCAGATCTATGTAATCAGTTACCTTTTAATATAAACAAGTTATTTTCTGTTTGTTGCTATTAAAAGTAGTGCTACTGTGAGACTCCTTAATGTATATGCATCTGTTTGATGAAGTTAAAATTTGTACACCACAGAGTACTTAAAATATTGGTTTATGTGTGAAAAAGCAATCCTGTGTATTCTGTGCCTCCTTCCATCAAGTGTTTGTGTTCTCTCCATGGACAAATGGATATTTTCTGTCTGTGCTGTTTTATTTTTTTATCTTGCCTTTTTCCTACCTTACTATTGGCTAAATGAAAAATCCAGAAACTCAAATCTATTACTTTATCTATTTCCTGTTTCCCCTGACTTATGTTATCTAGGGATTAGTGACAAGAAAGTGTTATCCCTTTGGGAGAGGAACTGTCTAACTCAAAGGTTACATGTGAAGGGAAAGCTTAATGGAGATTGAATTAAATACCTGTTTTTTTTTCAACTATTTTTTATATCATTTTCTTTCTTTTTTTTTTTTTTTTCTGAGACTCTTTGTGGCAAATTGAGTTTGTATCAGAATAGCTCCAGACAATGAGATTCTAGAATCAGCTTTTAGCTTTTAATTAAAGACCTGAAATATATTGCTATCACCTACTTCAAAGTACAGAGAAATTAATACTCTGGACTGCAGGGTATCTGAGAGAACAGGTAATCAGATCCTGTGTTATCACAGAAGATAATGGGCCCTATTTCTTCCTCCTCCTCGAGTTAAATGTTTATACAATATCTGGCAAGACACTTATAGGTAGAGTTAAGCAACATCCTCTGTTCCAGCCTTTCTACAAACAGTCTCATGATCAGCCCCTGCAGACAAATGAATTTCAACTCAATTTTGCTTCCTTTGTTGTTGAAGTGCTCATTGGGGATGTCATTACTATCTGAAGGACCTGCACTTTCCTTTTTCTCTAGTGCTTAACAAAATAAAGTCCTTGTGTCTTTCAGTCCTCATCATCCCAGTAGATTTTAGGCTGAGATTTTTGAACAAATATATTTATGCTTGAAATGTATTGAGTTTGTGGCTGAATGTCTCGCCTTAAAAGAGGAACACTCATCACCTGAATAAGGCTCCCAAACTAACAAAGGAGCTGTAAACCCATGAAGAATTGCTGATAAGGCAGTTGGTATTAATCTGGATCTGAAATTCAGCTTGACTGGAATCCAGTCAGGCTCACTGGATTCTTGCTATGTCAGGGCACGATCCTGACCTTTTTCGTGAGCTAGCTTATCCAATATTATCTGGCATATTATACTTCATAAAATAAGGTTATATTCCCTTTAATGTTCAAATTGGTCCACTTTCAACGTTTTTTTAACATTCAAATTTGTCACTTATCCAGAGAATGCCTTTCATTTCTCACTAGTGTCCCACTCCCTATTCTTAACAAATCACTGAAGGCCAGTGGTGTTTGTTCAAACAAGGAAGGTCAGTTCTGGTTATTAGTGACTTAGAGAAAAGACACCAGAAAGGTTCATCAGTCCCTTGGCATGCATTATTCTTAATTGTATTTGCTGATGTTGCTGCCAAAAATCAGAGTCTGGCAGTACTGTAGTGATCCAGGCATGAGCTACCATAGAAACAAGGTTTCTTTGGTGATAGTTTCTCAGAAGAGAACAGAAAAAGGCAAATTTTCTCTTCCTAGTATTACAACTACCTCTGGTCTCCCCACATGAAGCATTGTAGGAAACTGGAAAACATCTCTTTAAGAGACTGAATCCTTTATGTTACGACCTTGCAATGACTACCCAGAAGAAAACAAGCAGGTGTAAGGGGAAAAAAGTAAATAAAGCAGGAAAAAAGTGAGGGGTGTCTCTCAAATCAACAATCAAAGAAAAGAGAGTGGGCCAGTTATTATAGCCTGAAATAGGATACCCTGCTGTGCTTGCATCTCAGGAGACTTTGCTAGCAGTACCTTTAGTTGCAAACATGAATATGCTTGTTCAGAAAAATCACAAAAGGACTTCTTATGTTGACACAAAAGTTATTTTGGATATGGACTGGAAACATCTATTTTGATAATAGATCCTTTTGTCTACCCTCAACCCTCTCCACACACAAAAACACACATATATAAATTCCCATCTATTATGTATGACTTTGCTCCATCCGAACAGCCACAAAGAAGCTGACCCTGATACCAGCTGGAACTGGCTGCAGATGATGAAACTATCCTTTCTACCTTGTCCACACAGCCTGCTCAGGCCCACAGAGGAGAAGCCTTTAACTAAGGTGTTGACAACAGCATAGAACCTTCAGAACTACAGGGGATATAGGACATTGCCATGGATTAAGGGAAGAGAAAATATATAATTACATTAACCCAGGGTAAAAAGATATTATGCACTCTCTCTCTCTCTTTCACACACACACACACACACGCACGCGCACACACACACACACACACACACACACACACACACGCACATACCCAGTCAAACTCTTACCAAACCTCCTTACAGTAGAAGAAATGCTCACTTCACCATAGGCTGTGCTTTGAGCTAGCTCTCTAGAACCTTTTGACAGGCTTGTGTTAAGTTTTAGAATTAAGAACATGACTTTTCTTCTAGTAAGTTTCACCTCAGGGGCCAGGGAGGGCTACCCCAGTACATATGATCAAGTTTAATAACTTTCAAAGTTAAAGGAAAACTATTAAGTGTTACAGCACCATTTCCCTCTCCCACATCCCAAAGGCAATTTGACTCCTTGACAAAGTTGCCCATCTCTTCTTAGGCAATTTTTAAATTGAGGGTGTGTTAGTCTGTTCTTGCATTGCTGTAAAAAAATACATGGTATCCACCAAAGCTTATAGCTTGCACCCTCTGGAGTAGTGAGCCATACTGTACGTGGACTTCTTTGAGCTAAGGCTAGAGACAGAGTGGTATAGATGTGGGGAACAGAGTCCTGGGGCTATGCAGGTCAGCAAGGTTCTGGACATGGCCCATAAAATTACTCTTTCCTCCTAGGTCTTGGGACCTGTAATGGGAGGGACTGCTTAGAAGATCTCTGAAATGCCTTTGAGGTCTTTTTCCAATTATCTTGGATATTCACACCTGGCTTTCTTTTAGCAAGTTGTTGCCCGGCAGCCTGCTTGGATTCTTTCTCTACCACAGGGCCAGGCTGCAAATTTTTCAAATTTTTACACTCTGCTTCCCTTTTAAATATAAGTTCCAACTTTGAGTCATTCCTTTGCTCCCACATCTGATCATAAGCTCTTAGAATCAGGCACACCACAACTTAAACATTTTGCTGCTTAGAAATTTTTTCCACCAGATACCGTGTCATCACTTTTAAGTTGAAACTTCCACGAAGCCCCAGGACATGGACACAGTGTAATCAAGTTCTTTGCTAGGGAGTAACAAGGGCAATCTTTACTCCAATTCCCAATACATTGCTAATTTCTATCTGAGATTTCATTAGCATGAACTTCACCATCCATATCTCTTTTAGCATTTTGGTCACAATCATTTAAACAGTCTCTAAGAAGTTCCAAAATTTCCCTCATCTTCCTGTCTTCTCCTGAGCCTTTCAAACTCTTACAACCTCCGCCCATTACCCAGTAGCAAAGCCACTTCCACGTATTCCGGTATCTTTATAATACCCCACTTCTTGGTACCAATTTTCAGTGTTAGTCCTTTCTTGAATGCTATGAATACTGAAGACTGGGTAATTTATAAAGAAAAGAAGTTTAATTGGCTCAGAGTTCTACAGGCTATACGTAAAGCATAGTGCCAACATCTACTTCTGGTGAGGACCTCCAGAAGCTTATAGTCATATCAGAAGGCAAAGGGAGCCAATGTGTCACATGGTGAGAGAGAGAGAGAGAGAGAGAGAGAGCAATAGAGAGAAGGGAGAGGTTCCAGCCTCTTTTTAACAATGAGATCTCATGTGAACTAGATATCGCTCATCACCTAGATGATGACACTAAGCCATTCATGACGATCCACCCCCATGAGCCAATACCTCCCACTAGACTCCATCTTAAACATTGGAGGTCACATTTCAAATGAGATTTGGAGGCAACAAACATCCTAACCATATAAGAGAGATGTGAACTAAAAGATTTAAAACAGTCAGGTGTAGGATCCCTATATAACATCTACATTTCCAAAAGGAGACACCCAAGTAGTTTTCCCAAACAAAGAGTTCTTTTGCAGAGTGTCCTTAACACCTGCTCTCTAGTAACTTTTATAACAGCATCTCTTACTAAATATATATATTTTTTAAATTCCATATCCCTGGGCATCCCTTTGCACAACCAAGTTGTGTAGACACTTGTCTATTTTGCCACTTATAATAGCTGAATTAAACTAGCAGAGCAGAAATCAGCATTTTTGCCACTAAAAGTTGGTTCATCACTCACATTGAGTCAACATTACACAGCTAACAACTCTGATAAATATTTGTTTTGAAAATATTGAGAAAGTAAATATGAGCCTTCTGCCTTCTATAAGAAATTTAACTGATAGATTTCTATATTTTCTTCCAAACAGTAATCTTAGAGGTCACCTGGTTTATAACAGTCCCTCATCCTCATAAACACCGTAAGTCCTCTAAATAGTGTCTCTGATAAGGGATCTTCCTGAAGGAGCCTGGACTATTTTAAGAAGCCATGTTCAAAAGTTTTCTATACCTTGAACCCAAATGTGCCTCTTTATGATTTCCACATATGCCCTATTCTTACTCTGGGTTCCCTCAGAATCAGTCTAATCTTACATAACAGCCATTTGAGTATTGGCAGGCAGCTACCTGGTGCTTTCCAAAGCTTTCTTTCTCCAGATTGATTATCTCTGATTGTTTCAACTATCACATATTATGGTAGGATTTTAGTAACTTAATTACCCTTTTCATCTTTACCAAACACACTTTTAAAGAGCACCAGCATTCTGAGTTGCAGGGACCATACTTTTAGGGTGTTCCATATAGTTGATCATAATAATACTAGTAATTATAACAATACGCTAATATTTAATGTGTACCAACCATATACAAGGATTGCATTGAATGATTGATGTGTTCTTACTGTTTTACTATCAACAATCGTCCTGATGCAGTTTGAGTGCTCCCAGAGCAGATGCTAGGACCGAGTTTGGAGAATATTTGTCAAGGATCAAAACCCATAAAAGAAAGGGAAATCTGTGAAAGGAAGCAGAATTGCCCAGAGGGAGAAATTGAATTGCTATGTAGGCCTGGCAAGGCCTCAGTCAATCCAGCAGGGGGCTCTGAAGCAACTATATTGCCCAACAAAGTTGTCCAATGGGGACCCAAATGATTCATCCTTTATATAACCCATAAACACACTACACCATCACTGGATGCACAATTCCCGAAAATGGGAGTGACCTCAGGTAATGTGACTCTGCATCTCAGGCAGACCTAAATGACAAACTGTTGGAGGCTGTCTGCTGACTGTTGTCTTTACAGCTGGGCAAGTCTTTCCTAGAAGAAAGGGGTCTTGTCAGTACATCTCCACTTCCACCACAAACCTATAAGGCCATACTTTTATTTTTCCCATTTTACACATAAGGAAACTGAGATGTAGACAGATTAAGAAATTTACCAAGATAATAGAGCTTGTAGCTTAAAAAAAGATGAAAATCTCTCTTCTGTAGTTAAAGTAAATTAAATGTACTCAAAAACTGAAAATCTAGTTCATTCTCCTATACTTCCAGACAACATATATATAATACATAATATATATGCTATATATTAAAGAAACTTCCAAAAGTTGTGAAGGTCTGAGACTTTACCCTACTTGCAAGCTAACAAGTTAGCCTGACCCATTTTGTGGATATTGTAGGAGACATTGTACTCTGGGGTCAGAGAAAAGGACTTGATTACTCACAGCACAGTAGGCAGTATACAATTCATGTTCACACAAATATCTCTTCTCCATCACCACCCTTCTCTAAGTTGTATACAAGCGATATTAAGGCATCCCAGGTGGATGCTACACACACAGTGGGTTTGTGTCAGAGCTGAGGAACCTGGAGCTTAGAAAATTCCATCCTTTAAAGGAGATTGCTAGAATACCTCCTTAACCTTTGCCACAGAGAATTATTTTTATTGCCCTAATCAGAAAAAAAAAATCTACCTTCTGTTGTAGTGTGAGACACTACGTCTTCCATGGCTGTTTGCTATACAAACATCTTTGAAAAGATAGTCCATAATAAAAGTTGATGCAAGATGTGCAGAAATGCCAAGAAAATGTCTCCCAAAAGATACAAAGAGAAAAATGACATAATCTCTGCCTTACATCAATTCAGGGAAGGAAATAATAAAACCAAAATGTAATTACAAAACACTATATAAATTTCTATAGATGGGTAAAAGACCAGGAAGCTACAGGAACAGACAGAGGAAGAAACCAATAGCTGGTTAAGGCTAGGAAAGCCTTCATGCAGTAGGTGATGTTTGAGTGTTTACTGTTTTCTAGAATTTAATCAGTTCCTAGTAACATTTGAGTAAAATAGAAAGGATAATATGGTTTGGCTGTGTTCCACCCAAATCTCATCTTGAATTCCCACACGTTGTGGGAGGGATCGGATGGGAGGTAATTGACTCATGAGGACAAGTCTTTCTCATTATGTTCTTGCGGTAGTGAATAAGTCTCATAAGATCTGATGATTTCAAAAAGAGGCATTCCCTTGCATGGCCTCTCTCATTTTTTGCCTGCCACGAACCTCATAATATGTGACTGGCTCCTCATTGCCTTCCACTATGATTGTGAGGCTTCCCCAGCCACGTGGAACTCTAAATCCAACTAAACCTGTTTCTTTTGTAAATTGCTCAGTCTCAGGTACATCTTTATCAGCAGTGTGAAAAGAGACTGATACAGAAGAAAAGGTAGGATACCTTGATCAAGAAATTCACCAGCACACAAAGGATATAAGCTACTTTTGTAGTAAAAATTTGGGTCCTAAAGATTTTAAACTTTAGGCAGAATGATGGTGATGGAAACATGGCAAAACAGCCTAAAAAGCTTAATAAGCTTTTCTTCATTGCTTTCATAGCAAATAACAGTGCCCAGTAACTAGAATATCTATACATCATATTTGATATTCAAATGAATACATTTGAAACATTATTGCATTTCAGAATATAGATGAATGATTATAAATATACAGCATGAAATATACATTTTTATCTAATCTGCTGCTTTATTTAGCAGAAGGTCATTGAGGAACATTTGTAACTTTAGAACTGTGTTACTTTTGCTCCATTAAATGTTTCATAAGTTTTAAGTTAAGTCTGTGCTTTATCTTATGTTCTCTTATATTCTCTTCTCTAGAAGAGAGGCGGTCCTTAGAGTAATAACTCTGACTCTTTGAGTTTCAATCTTGGTTATTTCTGAAACTTTTGGGTAAAGGTACTGCTGGTTTAACTAGAGAGGGACCAGTTGCATTAATAATATGTAGTGAGATATAAGAAATTAAGGAAAAGAAAGAAAAAAATAGAAAATAAAACCAGAGTTCAAGTTCAAAATCTTCTCTGCAATATTTTTGAACCCCAACAGACTTCTAGTGGTATTGTCTATATCTGAACTCTCAAGAGGCCAGGTGCAGAGAATATAGAGACTTAAAAATCCTATCTGCACATAAGTAATTACTCTTTTCTTTTAAACACTGAGGATGAAACCATTCCCTGTCAATATTGCACATACTTTACAAGGCGCATAAAAAGAAAGAAGCTTCTTCATATGTTTGCCAAAGGCATCTGTTCTATGCACCATAAAGCTAGTCCACAGTTTTATCTTTCCATCCTTTCCTTATGTTCTTCTCATTCCCTTCAATGGCAAAACCTCAACTTCATGGAGAAAACAGAGACCACTGGGGATGAGCTCAATTCAACTGAAGAAATGTTTATTCATGCCTACCACATGCAGTGTTATGTTGAGTGCTGACAATTTAAACACAGCTAAGACATAGTCTCACCTTTCAAGAGGCTTGCCTTTCCACCTCCACCCTTCCCTCTATGTATATATTTCCCTTCCTCTACATTATTCTTTTCTCTTTCTTTCAGTCTGAGCTTGCCTGAGGCTAATCCTTCCAGACAGAGCTCTTCATTGCATCCTTCCTTTACTTTTCATGTTTCTTATCATTCCACCTAATTTCACCTCATTATTAATATCTTTTTAGTGGCTTTATGTTCTTAATATAAAAATTATACTAAGATTTTTACCCTTAGTTTTTAAAACAGCAGGCATTGATCCCTGTGTAATTACCACATTACCGCCCCTCTCTCTCTTTACAACTCAGCCTCTAGAATTGTCTTTGCTCACTGTCTACTTCTCCACCTCCTATTCACTTCACAAAGCAACTCAGTTTGGGTTCTACATAGAGTATTGCATTGGATGTCACTGTTAATATGCTCAGTGCCAAATCCTCCAGATGCCCTTCAGTGTACACAAAGGATAATTATAGTCTCCCTTCCTATATTAGGAAATTTTTGCATTGTTGTAAGCAAATACTTAAGACTGGGTAATTTATAAAGAAAATAGGTTTAATTGGATTACAGTTCTTCAGGCTTTACAGAAGCATGGTGCCGACATCTGCTCAGCTTCTGGGGAGGCCTCAGGAAGCTTACAATCATGGCAGAAAGCAAAGAGAAAGCAGACATGTCACATGGTGAAAGCAGGAGCAAGAGAGAAAGAGTTGTGGGGAGGTGCCATACTCATAAAAACTTACCATCATGAAGACAGCACCAGACCATGAGAGATCCATCCCCATGAACAAAATACTCCCCACCTGGCTCCACCTCCAGCATTGTGGATCACAATTCAACATAGGATTTGGGAAGGGACTAACATCAAAACTATACTATTCTACCCCTGCCCTCTCCCAAGTTTCATGTCCTTCTCACATTGTAAAATACGATCATGCTTTCCCAACAGTTTCCTAAAGTCTTGACTCATTCCACCATTAACTCAGTCCAAAGTCTCATCTGAGACAAAACCTGTAGAATCAAAAACAAATTATTCACTTCAAAAATACAACGGGAATATATGTATTAGGTAAACACTGCTATTCCAAAAGGGAGAAATTGGCCAAAGGAAAGGGGCTACAGGCCCATGCAAATTCAGAACCCAGCAGGGCAGTCATTAAATCTTAAAGCTTCAAAGTAATCTCATTTAACTCCATGTTCCACATCCAGTGCACATTGGTGCTAGGGGTGGGATCCCAAGGCCTTGGGCAGCTCTGTCTTTATGGTTTTGCAGAGTAAAGCCTCAAAGCCTGTTTTCACAGGATGAGTGCCTGAGGCTTTTCCAGGAGCAAAGTGCAAGCTACTGGTAGATCTACCATTCTCAGGTCTGGAGAATAGTGGTCATTTTCTCACCACTCCACTAGGCAGTGCACCAGTGGGGACTCTGTGTAGGGCCTCTAATCCCACATTTCCCCTCTACACTGTCTGAGTAAATGTCTCTTTGAGGACTCCACTCCTTCAGCAGGCTCCTGTCTGGGTACTCAGGCTTTCTCATATACCCACTGAGATCTGGGAGGCTGCCAATCCTCTTTCACTTTTGCATTTTGTGTGCCTGCAAGCTTAACACAACATGGAAGCTGCCAAGGCTTATGGTCTGCATTCTCCGAAGTGGCAGCTTGAGCTGTACCTAGGCCCCTTTGAGCCACAAAAAGAGGTCTAGTTGGTACATGGTTCTGCAGGCATTACAGGAAGCATGACGCTGCAGCTGGAGCAGCTTGGATGCAAAAAGCAGTGTCCTAAGGCTGTGCAGAGTAGCATGACCTTGCCCATGAAAACATTCAGTCCTCCTACACCTCTGGGCCTGTGATAGGAGGGGCTGCCCAGAAGCAGAAGATCTGTAAAATATCTTCAAGGCCTTTTCCCATGAATTGTATTGGATATTAGAATTTGACTCCCTTTTAGTTATGTAAATATCTCTAGCAAGTGGTCGCTTCACAGCCTACCTGAATTCCTCTCCCTAAAAATTTTTTTTTCCCTTTGCTATGTGGCACGTCTGCAAATATTCCAAACTTTTACATTCTGCTTTCTACTTAAATATAGATACCAAATTTAGGCCATTTCTTTATTCCCACATCTGAATTATGCTGCTTGAAATAGCCAGGCCATATCTTGAATCCTTTGCTACTTTGAGATTTCTTCTACCAGATACCCTAAATCATCACTCTGAAGTTCAAACTTCCACAAAGCCCTAGGCCATGGACACAACGTAGCCTAGTTCATTGCTAAGGTATAATACATGTTACATTTTCTCTAGTTCTCAATAAGTTCCTTACTTCCATCTGAGACCTCAGCAGGCTGGGCTTCACTGTCCATATCACTATTAACATTTCAGTCACAACCATTTAACTGGTCTCTAAGAAGTACCAAACTTTCCCCATCCTCCTGTCTTCTTGTGAGCTCTCCAAACTTGTCTAACCTCTGTCCATTATCCTGTTCCAAAGTCACTTGTACATTTTCAGATATCTTTATAGCAATGTCACACTCCTCAGTACCAATATTTTGATATTAGGTTGTCTCTGCATTGTTACAAAAAATTCCTGAGATAGGGTAATTTATAAAGAAAAAAGAGATCTAGTTGGTGCATGATTCTGCAGGCACTACAGGAAGCATGATGATGACATCAACTTGGCTTCTGGGGAGGCCTCAGGAAGCTTATAATCATGGCAGAAGGCAATGCGGGAGCAGATACATTACATGTCAAAGTAGTAGCAAGAGAGAGAGTGTGGTGGGGGAAGATGCCCACACTTTCAAATGACCAGATCTCACAAGAATTCACCCACTATCATGAGGACAATACTAAGTCATAAGGGATCCACCCCCATGACCCAAACACCTCCCACTGGTCCCCAACTCCAGCCTTGGGGAATATAATTCAACATGAGATTTGGACAGGGACAAGTATTCAAACTCTCTCACTTTTTCACATAGCTAGTAAGTGAGTGACTGGAAATCTGAACCCAGCCAGGCAGCTCTAGGGTCCTCTTAACTGCCACATTATATTATATTTCCAGTGGGAGATGCCATCTTTGGCATCACCTGTCTCATAACACTTATCCAGGCAATGGGATTTGTCTAGAGCCAGGCTTACTCAGAACCCTTCCAGAGATTATTTTTTTTTAAACTAAGATGAGAAAAAAAAAAAGTGAGATAGAGAAAACCTCAGTTACTCTATAATGGATAATCTGTAAGATTTTAAGCCAAGAGATGTTAATCACCCTGACTCTTGCTGAGCTGCTGATTTATAACAGGAGAAAATGAAGCCAACATGCAGGAAGAAAACTTAAATAGAGTTCAGAATTCTCATCCCTGGTACAACTGTATACAAGACCAGCTTCTATCTTTGCTCTTAGTGGACTACCTGGTCCATACGTTTTCCTATTAATCAAAGCTGGTTTGAGTCAGATTTGTTACTTGAAAAAAAATAGTCCTTTACTTTTCTTCCTTCACCTGCATTCAGCATTTGATATTATTGGACATTTCCCTCCTATGTGAAGTTTTCTTAATCTTCTTGTCTCTCAGACCACTCCAATCTTCCTGGAAGCTTTCTATTCTACTTCACTGACCCTGTAATTGGCAGAAACACTAAGGTCTTCATTTTAGTCCTTTACCTTTACCTATGCCTGATCCTTGTGTACCATATATAAGAAGTCAACAACAGCTTATGTGCTTAAATGCTAATCATTCCTGAATTTATGTTTATAATGCGAATTGTTCTATTCTGGTTCTCAAAGACACCTCAAACCCACACATCCAAACTGACCTCAGAAAGTGTACCTTGGCTCCTTCTTCACTCATTCAAAAATTAGTTCAAGATGGAGCCTAGACCTAAATGTAAAACCTAAAACTATAATGTTTTAAAATAAAACATAAGAGAATATCCTGAAGATCTTAAGAGGTGAGATTTTTTTTGATGACACAGAAATCAGTAATTTTTTTAGAAAACTGAAAATTTGGGCTGGGCACAGTGGCTCACACCTATAATCCCAGCACTTTGAGAAGCCGAAGCAGGCGGATCGCAAGGTCAGGAGTTTGAGACCAGCTTGTCCAACATGGTGAAACCCCATCTCTACTGAAAATGCAAAAATTAGCCAGGCGTGGTGGCACACACCTTTGATCCCAGCTACTCGGGAAAACTACTTAAATAGAGGAGGCAGAGGGTGGAATGAGCCGATATTGCACCACTGCACTCCAGCCTGGGTGACAGAGCAAGACTCTGTCTTGGAAAAAAAAAATGAAAAATTAAACTTCATCAAAAGTAAATACTACTTTTCATAAAAAGATATTATTAAGAAAATGAATAAAATTAAAATTTTTCCCATATACTGAGAGAAAATATTCATAAAACAATACATGTGACAAAGACATATACAGTATACAAAGAATTTATATAACTCAATAATAAAAAGATAAAAGCCCAATAAATGAGTCAAAAACTTAAACAGGCATTTTTCAAAGGAAGATATACAAATACCATTAAGCACATGAAAAGTGCTCAGCATCATCAGTCACCAGAGGCAAAATCAAACCTCAATAAGAAAGCACTACACATCCACTAGAATGAATAAAATAAGAGAATGGACAGCACTTAATGTAAGCAAAGATGTGGAGAGCCAGAACTCACATACATATGTTGCTGGCGGAAATGTAAAATGATACAACCACTTTGGAAAACTACGTGAAAGTATCTAAAAGTTAAATACACATCTGTTTAACATAGTAATTCTACTTCTATGTATTTACCAAATAGAAATAAAAACATATTTACCACATAAAGGCCAATATACAAATATTAATAACTGCTTTATCTGTAATAGCCCCAAACTGAAAAAAAAAAAATCAATAGGTGAATGGATTGCCAAATTGTGGCATATCCATCTAAATGGAATACTGCTCAGCAATAGAAAGGAGCTACTGATATGACAAAATGGATTGTGATCACAAATATTATGCTGAAAGAAAAGACACTGGACACAGAAAAGTACATACTGAATAATTCCTTTTATATGAAGTTTTAGAAAAGGCAAAACTAATCTTAGCTGATAAATATTAGTAGAGGTTTCCTTGGTTAGAGGCAAAGGTCTGGGAAGGGGCACAAGGGACCTGTCTGAGGAGACGGAAATGCCTTATGTCTTGGTTGTGGTGGTGGTTCACAGCTATACACACATTTGTCAATATTTATTGAACTGCTCATTTAAAGTGGATGTGCTTTTTGTATCTAAATTACACTCGATAAAGTTACTTTAAAGAAATGGCAAGAGTTTGGAAAGAAATAGCACCCTATGATGTGAACTAATTTCATCCTTCCCATATGACTTGTCATTGGCATAAGAGGACCAAAGGTATGTAAGTTTCAGTGGGATTGAGATCAAAAAAGAATACATAGGAAAGTACATAGTTTGCTGATGACATTCTCCACCTTCCTCTGCCCCTCCCACTTTGTTCTACCTCACCCTCTGGCTTCTTCTATAGGGCTCTCCAGTGTCCCATTATTGGTTCTTAGATGGCTGCTTATCAGTCCCTCCTGAGCAGAGGCGTAGACATGAGTCAAAATCCTATAGCTAGGATTGATGCACTTCAACAGACCCATAGAAACTGTATCTTTAAAAGAGCTGTTAGAACTGTAACAGTGACAACTGAGGTAGGGTAACAACAATAAATGGGTAGGGGTTCCGATGAAACAAGAATCACAGAATATTGACAACTGCTGAATATGAATGATGGACAGATAAAGGCTAATTATACAATTTGCTTGTCTGGTATATGCTTCAAATTTTCTATTTAAAAAGGTTTAAAAATAGGTATGCCGACCAGAGTACTGTTTGTATACTTTATATCGTTTTTATCTTTTTGTTGCTGACTATAGTCATATTTAATGTAAATAAATAAAACTATTTTCCATACCTACACAGCTCATCTATTGTGGCTGATGCCAATTCTGGGTGTAAAAGAAAATCCTTGAGGAAATAGCAGGGTAAATCAACACATATCTCATTACATTTTTCCCTTATTTAAAATCCTTTGATGTCTTTAAGGAAGTTCAAACTCTTTAAAATAGCATTCATTACTTCTTCTAATTTCCCACCTTACCTCACTTATCTTCAGCTTTATCTCACTCAATATTTGTTCATGTCATCCAGGATGGGCTTTTTGAACTGCTTTCACTTCAATGGATTTGCCATGAATGCTTACACCTTTTTTTTTTTTTTTTTTTTTTTTTTGAGACAGAGGACAAAGTCTCACTTTTGTTGCCCAGGCTGGAGTGCAATTGCACAATCTCGGCTCACTGCAACCTGCACGTACTGGGTTTAAGTGATTCTCCTGCATTAGCCTCCAGAGTAGCTGGGATTACAGGTGCCTGCCATCACCCCCAGCTAATTTTGTTTTTTTCTTTTTAGTAGAGACAGGATTCCACCATGTTGGCCAGGCTCATCTCAAACTCCTGACCTCAGGTGATCTGCCTGTCTTGACCTCACAAAGTGCTGGGATCACAGGTGTGAGCCACCACACCCAGCCCTTATACCTTCTTGACCTTAACATATACTAGTCTCTGCCTGGAAAGACATCCCCATACCCTCAGGTCTTCTGGCTAATTCTCATTTATTCTGAGATGCTACAGAATGTGTATTGTCTTGCCCAGCTTCGTATCTCACATCCATTGCACTTGTCTGTTACTCATTTGCCTCCTTCACTAGACTGTGAGCATCTTGAAGGATGGGATTGTGCTGTGTTACCTTTCTAGTCTCAGTACCAGCCCAATCACTGCAACTTAGTAACTATTAAGAATTTTGCTAATCAATGAATAAATGTAGACAAAAATACTAAAGCCATAGGCATATTAAACAGAAAAATGAAGATATATCATATCTGATAAGATTAAGAAGCATTAGAAAAACTTTTTCCAATGACTTACTTGAACATTTAAAAAAAATTCTTACAGACTCTAATAAGATCCTGCTTAAGGAAACACAGGGGTGATTGAAACAGACAACACTGCTGACATCGTACAGATTACATTCTTTTCAAGGTACACAGACAATTAACAAATACAGAATATAGTGTCAAGTAGTGATAAGCATTATGAAAAAATAAAGCAAGATCAGGGTTGGAAGGGATTATGACTACATAAAGAAGTGATTAAAAGCTTCTCTAGGGAGGTGACATTTGAGCAGAGACCTGAATGATGAAACACGTAGAGCCAGTTGATGATCAGGAGAAAAAAAACAATCAAAGCAGAAGGAGCCAAAGGTGAAAAGGCCCAGAATCAGGAATTTGGGGTACTAAGAATTCTGGTGCCAAAACTGAACATTCTCTCTCCAGAAATATGTATTCTGGGGAGTCTTAAAGCCTTTTCTTTTTCACTATTTTTCTATTAAAAGTCAAACACCACTAGGAGCAGTGAGAGTTTAAGTAAGAATTAATTAACAAGCTGCAGGGAATGAAACAAGAGTATGAAGGTGAAGTGGACTGCAGAACAGTGAAGTGAAGATTCCCACTTTTTACTTCACTGGGAAGACCAAAGGGCACTAAACCTTGCCCATGTCACTGCTGTCCCTACACTGGTTCTGGGTAGAGACAGTGATGCATTGAGATGACCTATGTAAAGGTGAGATGGGAAGAAGGTGGGATTACTGCCTGCTTTCTCTCCTCCCAATTGCACACACCCTTTTTCTTCTTCTCACTTTATC